ATCGCCAATGTCCAATGACAGAAGTGGACAGATGCCGCCGTATTAACGACCCGGACGGAGATCGCGAGGTTGGGTCACGTTAGCACTACCCATCCGATTCATTGCTGCATTTCATTTTTCGGGTTGCAGTTCTCTTCCTGAGAATTGGTTGTGTATATGTGCAAGCTCAATGAATAAATAAAAAGGAAGTAATACCATTTTTAACCATTGTCATGCATCAGTGACATGATATCTGCAGTTGGAGCTGGTCAGGGCAGTCTGCGTGTCCACCGTAGAATGGCCACAAACTTAGTCCACATGTACCGTGGACGATTCTTGATCAAACAGAGATTAAACGGCAGTCTACGGTGATTCCATCGCTTTTCAGTGGTGTGTTATGGGCTGACATAGTAGTAGTAGTATTAGTAGTACGACTATGTTACTCCAGACATTCGAACTACGCAAATAATCATACAAAATGCTTCAGGGCGTGGGGGAGGAGGAGCGGGGAGAAAACAATTCAACTTACTCCGGATCGTTCCGGTAAATGACCCAGAAAATCATATACGTAATGCAAACAGGCAACACGAGGAGTCGAACGAGGGAAAACTCGCATGAGATTTGTCGACTGCGGATGTGGAAGTTCAGCGGGAGTCTGGAGAAAGCAAACGCAGATAGGCGAAGGGAATGGCAAGTCAATGGTATGTATATCATGCGGTGATGTGAAGATTAATAGATCCACGCTGGGGATGAACTGTGAAATGGATTTCGCGTAAAAGCACAATTTTCAGTTAGTACTCGGACTCCGACCAGCAAATAAGCGTAGAGTTGACGCAACAAGAGAAACCCCGGATGCAAGTGTGTGTGTGTGTCTGAGGGGGTGAGAGACGAAAGGAAATAATCTACAAACAAAAAAGAATAAAGATTTTATCTCACCGTATACTTTTAGCTTTATTTTTAGTGTTTTATGTTTATTGATTGATTAGAACTGACCATTCTTCACTCTTCAACTTCACGCACATTCCTCAGCTCTTCCAGAAAACCACACACGGGCAAGAACTGGACTCGAGTTTCGTTCTTATTCGTTGCTGAACTGACTGACTATCTTCGAAGACGACACTTGAACAAACATGAATTGGCAATCCGGTCCAGCCCTGATGTGAGCTGACTGGCACAGTGGTAACACACACGACTTCCATGCGATGGGTTCGGAGTTCGAATCCTAGATATGTACAACTGATGAGCTCTAATGAGAGCGAAACTTGAGTCTAGTACCTCTGAGTGTATGGTTGACTGGAAGAGCTGAGGAATGTTTATGAAGGTGAAGTCTGAAGGATGGTTAGTTCCAATCAATCAATATTAATAACCCCACAACACTACTTGCAAGTAATTGTGAGTTCAATGCGAATGTTTCATATTTCCTTGCGTGTTATAGGGTACGGGACTGCAACAGACCTATTGCACATCATCCATGCCAAAAGTTTCTGTTCACGGACGTTTCTTTCAACGTTCCCAACCAACGACAATCTTCATACCCCGGACTACAACCTCAAAAGCAAGAAGCACCACCCGAAGCAATAGTTGAAGCTCATTTCTCCATAGCCCTAGACCAAATCGTGTTTGGACTGCAGTATAGCTTTTTCTTGTCCAGTACGAAAACCAGGAGAATGTAGTTTGGTAGGCATCAGATAAACAAGACTGAGCAATCGGAACCCATACAGATGACGGTCTTGTTTCAAATAACAACTATCAGTAAGCGAAAGATGGCAACGAACCACCGCAGATGTCCCCATCGAGCACGAGGATATGCTTTTAAGCCACGGATGTCTCAGTGTGTGTAGTGAGGTGCATTAGTAGTGATGTATTTTTAGATTCCTAATTTCGTTGAGGATAGAAACGTGTGCCATGTTTTGCTGCGAACATGCACATCATATCCGTTATGAACTGAGTATGACAAGTGTAAGCTAAACATAAGCAATCCAGCAGTTAAATGAATTATTTTCTTAAACGATTGATGAAGCAATTGACACATTGGTTTGATTCATATTATCCACTCGATCATGATCATCCATCACCATCATGATAATCGTCATCGTCGCATAGCGCAATACAGTGAAGCAAACTTCACTGTTTGCAGCGAAACTCGCAATGGATGCAAGTTTAGTGGTAATATCTGAGGTGAACAGGGAAAGGAATCATTTTGAAGGGGGAAGACTGTGAACGTCGATGGTCAACACACAGTTCAACTGTGCATATACACCGTTTCAAGCATTCTGGTCTGATGAGTGATAACAGAATCGCCACTGCTGTCTGTTAGTTTCCATATCTTTCAATGTCTCCAACCATCCGGTTAAGGAGTCTTTTGGTCCCCAACCCGGAAGACGAGAGAAAAAGACCCTAACTAATCGCTCTAGGTATTTATTTATGCCTCGTCTACCCGTCATCTGCTGGCCTCCATGTGGCTTTCTTCAGTCTAGAACAGCCACTGCGAATAAGGCGCGCTGCGGTAGGTGCGCGTCCGTCATACGCACAACGTGTCCTAACCAACGGAGCCTACCGAGCTGAATTCGATGCGATAGCGAGTTCTTGTTCGATACATACTTAAACAACTGACGTGTCGGTTACTAACCCGTTCACTCCATCTCACCTGGGCCAGACTACGTAAGCATCAATTATCGAAAACCATTGGGCAACGGATATCGTCTATCCGCAAATTCAAGGTCTCACAACCGTAACGATGAACTGATCGTAAGCTGGCGCAGTATACGCAACTTTCAACTTTCGTGAAACGTCACATCGTCGTCATAAGTGTTCTAGTTGTGCGTATGCTGCTCGAACTTTGAAAATGCGTGCGGTTACCTCCTCTGATGCGCTACTATTGAGACCAGAGAGATACTTGACAAAATTGATGATGGAGACGATATGCATCAATCACCCCTACTGGGGCAGTCGGACGGAGTGGTTGGGTAAAAACTCCGGAATCCAGAGTACATCAAGCTAGGTAGTGAATGCGAATCGTATA